CTTGATGATTGCCATTCTGACAGGAATGAGATGAAATCTTAGAGTTGTTTTGATTTGCATTTCTCTAATTGCTAGAGAGGTTGAACACTTTTTCATATATTTGTTGATCAATTGTATCTCTTCTGTGAAGGGTCTGTTCAGTTCTTTAGCCCATTTATTTGGTTTTTTGGTATTAAGTTTTTTGAGTTCTTTACATATCATAGAGATTAATGCTTTATCGGAGGTGCACGTGGTAAAGATTTTCTCCCAAACCGTAGGCTCTCTCCTCACTTTATTGTTTCCTTTGCAGAAAAGAAGCTTTTTAATTTGAATCCATTCCATTTATTAATTCTTGATTTTACTTCTTGCACTTTAGGAGTCTGGTTAAGGAAGTCAGATCCTAGGCTAACATGGTGAAGATTTGGGCCTATTTTTTCTTCTATAAGGTGCAGGTTCTAGTGCCTAAGTCTTTGATCCACTTTGAGTTGATTTTTGTGCAGGGTGAGAGGTAGAGGTTTAATTTTGCTACATATGGATTTCCAGTTTTGCCAGTGCCATTTGTTGAATAGGCTATCTTCTCTCCAGTGAATGTTTTTGGCACCTTTGTCTAGTATGAGACAACCATAGTTACGTGGGTTTGTCTCTGTGTCCTCCATTCTGTACCATTGGATCCACGTGTCTATTTTGGTGCCCGTACCTTGCCATTTTTATTCCCATAGCTCTGTAGTATCGTGTAAGGTCTGGTATGGTGATGCCTCCAGCTTCACTTTTCTTCTTTTTAAGCATGTAGTTCAGTGGCATGACATTCATACTGCTGCACCACCGTCACTGCCATCCATTCCCTGAGCCCTTTTCACCTTGCCATGCTGAAACTCTGTACACAACTGTCATGGTTTAAATATTAGGTTTTCCCCCCAAAAGCTCATTGTGAGACAATGCAAGAAAGTTTAGAGGTAAATGATTGGGTTGGGAGAGCCTTAACCTAGTCAGTGTGTTAATCTCCTGGTAGGGATTAACTGAGTGGTGACTGGAGGTTGGAGGAGGTGGATCAAGGTCGGCCCTTGAGGAACAAATTTTGTTCCTTGCTGAGCAGAGCGCTCTCTCTTTGCTTCTTAGTGGCCATGTTCTGAGTCACTTTCTTCAACCACTTTTTCTGCCATGATGTTCTACCTCACCTCAGGCCCTGAGGAATAGTCAGCCATCTGTGGACTAAGAACTCTGAAGACATGAGCCCCAGATAAACTTTTCTTCCTCTAAAATTGTTTTTGTCAGGTATTTTGGTCACAGCAACGAAAAGGCTGACTAAAACTCCCCATTCCCCTCTCTCCCAACCCCGGTCAACTATTCTATTTTTGTCTCCGTAGATTTAAACTATAGGTACCACAGAAAGTGAAATCATACAGGATTCGTCTTTTTGTAACTGGCTTACTTCACTCAGCTTAATGTTCTTAATTTTCGTCTATGTTGTATTATGTCTCAGAATTTTTTTAATTTTTTTAAGTTGTAGATGGACAGAATACCTTTTATTTTATTTGTTTATTTTTATGTGGTGCCAGGGATCGAACCCAGTGCCTCACACATGCTAGGCAAGCACTCCACCACTGAGCCACAACCCCAGCCCCTGTATCAGAACCTTATTCCTTTTTAAAGATGAATAATTTTCATTGTATTTATAGACCACATTTTGCTTAAGTGTCTGCCAGTGAACATATATGTTGCTTTCATGTTTTAACTATTCTGAATAATGCTGCTCTGAACATGAACAAATGTCTGCTTTTAATTCTGTTGAATATATACATAAGTGGAATTGTGACTTACGTGGGATTCTATATTTAATTTTTTGTTGTGGTTGTTGTTCCAAGGATTGAACCCAGGAATGCTTAACGAATGAGCCACATCTTTTTTAATTACTATTTATTTAGAGACAGGGTCTCACTAAGTTCCTAAATTACTGAAGCTGGCTTCGAACTTGTGAGCCTCCTACCTCAGCCTCTTGAGCTGCTGGGATTACAGGTATGTGCCACTGCACCCAGATCTTTAATTGTGTGTGTGTGTGTGTGTGTGTGTGTGTGTGCGTGTGTAGTTCTAGGAATTAAACCCAGACTTTACCACTGAGCTACATCCCCAGCCCTTTTATTTTTTATTTTAGGACAGAGTCTTTTGAGTTGCCCAAACTGGCCTTGAACTTGAGATCCTCCTGTCTCTGCCTCCCACTTGCTGAGAATACAGGCTTGCTCCACCATGCTTGGTCTGTGTGTAATTTGGAGAGAACCTCCAAACTCTTTTCCACTTTCCCACAATACACAAGGATTCCAATGTCTCCACATCCTGGCCACTATTTGTTATTTTCTGCTTTTTTGTTTTGTTTTGTTTTGTTTGTTTTAATAGTAGCCATCCTAATAGGTATGAAATGGTGTCTCATTAGAGTTTGGGTGTGTCTTTCCCTAATGATTAGTGATGCTTAGCACCTTTTCAGGTGCTTATTGGCCACTTGTATTTCTTCTTTGGAGAAATGTCTATTTGAGTCTTTCGCCCATTTTTGAATTGAGTTGTTTGAAGTTGTATTGTTGAATTTTAGGAGTTCTCTTTAAATTCTGGATATCGGTTACTTACCAGTCATATGATTTGCAAATATTTTTCCCATTCTGTGACTCTGTTGATAGTGCTTTTTGGATTGTATATATTTGGGGTGGGAAGGATACTAGGGATTGAACCCAGGGACACTTTGCCACTGAGCCATACCCTCAGTCATTTTTATTTTTTATTTTGAGACAGGGTCTCAGTAAGTTGCTGAGACTGGCCTCAAACCTGTGATCCCAGCCTCAGCCTCCCCAGTTGCTGGGATCACAGGTACGAGGCACCACACGCTCCTAGATGGACAGAATTTTTAATTCTCATGAAGGCTAATCTGTCCACTCTTTCATTTGTTGCCTCTGCTATTGGTGTCTGAGAAATCATTGCCAAACTTACTACTATGAAGACTTTGACCTGTTTTGATCTAAGAGTTTTAGGTCTTACATTTAGGTTGTGGATCCATTTTTGAGCTAGTTTTTGTGTGCAGTGTTAGGTAGGGTCCAGCTTCATTCTTTTGCATGTGGATATCTAGTTTTTCCCATTGAGTGGATCTGACAACCTTGTTCCAAATCATTTCACCATAATGTGAGGGCTAATTTCTGAGCTCTCTCGTTGATTCCATCAGTCTCTGTGCCTGCCTTTGTGCCAGTAGCATACTGTTTTGATCACTGTAGCTTTGTAGCACATTTTGAAATCAGGAGGTGTAGACTTTGTAATTAATTGCCAATAAACTATTTTCCTGGATTCTATGAGCCACTCTAGCAAACTATTAACCCAAGAAGGACGTTTCCTGGCCAGAGAGGAATAATGGACACTTACAGGAGGGAAGAATAGGAAGGGCTGGTTATACTCATAATTGCATTCTAGAGGAAAACACAATAAAATGCCCAACATTTAACCAAGGTCCCAGTACTGATGTCATCCCGTCCCACCTGTACCAATAACACAGTGGGGATGATTGGGTCACTTGGCTCCTTTTGAACAAGGCCCTGAAGATGGGATCCAGGAGGGTTAGCCACTACCCTAGAAGAGGCATCCTCAGAGGCCTGCCAGCCCCATCCTTCCCTAAGGAGAAACCCACCACCAAGGCTGTCAGACACCAGATATGGATATTGGGGGTCTTTTCCTTCTTTATTGCACCCTCAACCTCTCTCCCCAAAAAAAGACTATTTTCTTCTTTAGGAGTTTCAGGTAGAGGATGCAAATTGAGCAGTCCATATGGGTAAGTTAAGAGGGAGAAGGATAAAATGCCTCTTCCTTGACCTTTATTCCACTGGCTGTTTTAAAGGGTTACCAGAAGGGAGTTGGGGGATGGCATATTCCCCTATCAGTATTTCTAAGCCCTAACATTCCAAGCACAAAAGTGATTGAAGTAGAATTGTTCAGAGCAATAGGCGGTGTCACGAGCTGTCCACAGGTTGCATGTGGGTCACCGCACATGGAAGCCTAGTGGATAGAAACGTCTGGTGTCTGGGAATGACCAGTGGACATTCTCTCTGGTCAATTGCTCAGGGACAGAGTGAATTTCTACTGTGCTCTGCTCTGGCCTACACAGCACCTGAGATGGGTATGTCCCGCCAAGATGTCAATCAACCTGCTGATTGCAAGACATTTCACGGAGCAAGACTTCATCCTTAAAACCTGCCTTTGATGTATCCTCTTAAGTAAACCACCAGAGCCACCTTTTCTCTGTCTAGTTCCATGTTGACTAGATCTATCAAGGGCTTCGCTATTGTAAATATATTTCTGGCTATTTGTGTTTGTTATTCACTCATTATTTGGGACATTAAGTTTTAGGGTGGCTTACATTCTCCTGGGCAGGAAGAAGAACCCTCCAATGAGATGCTGGCCATTGACCCCATTAAGACAGTCTTTTGAAATCTCCTAGAATTCATAAAAACACTTATGGTTTGGATATGAGGTATTCCCTGTGTCAATTCAGGAATATTCAGAAGTGAAGTTACTGGATTGTGAACACTGTAACATAATGAGTCCATCCTAATTTGAATGAACTGACTGGGCAGTAACTGTAGGCAGGTGGGGCATGGCTGGGGGAGGTGGGCACTGGGGGTGTGCCCTAGAAGGATCTTCTTCCCTGAGACCCCACCCTACTCTTCTTTCTCTCCCTCCTTCTTGCTTCCTCTCTCTCTCTCTCTCTCCTCTCTCTCTTCCCCCTTCCTGGCAGCCATGAATGGAGTAACTTCCCTCCACCACACCCTTCCTCCATGATATTCTGCCTTATCCTGGGCCCAGAGCAATGGACTTGATCCACCATGGACTGAGTCTCTGAAATCATAAGCCAAAATAAACTGTTCCTCCTCTAAGTTGTTCTTACCAGATATTTCGGTCACAGTGACACAAAGCCAAGTGACACAAACACCAATCCCTGAATTACTATGATTTATTCTTCTTTCCTCTGCTACATTCTAGCTACTGGCCAAGTGGTTCTCCATCCTTAGGACTGCATGATTAAGAGAAGAGCTCTGGGTCCCGTCGTCTGAAGTTCTCAACGATAGAAGAGAAGCACAGCTGCCTCTGTTATCTCCCTGCTGCTGCTGTAAGAAGCATGAGATCCATATCCATTCCAGTCGAAAGCAGAGAAGTCTCCACACTGATAGGGATCACTCTCTGGGAAGTACCCTCCTCCACCGATGCAGTGCTAGGAAACAAGGAGTGGGGGGGGGGTGACATTGAGAGGTCTGCTGATGAGCCCAAAGACCTTAATGGCCAAATCCAAAGGAATCTTTGCTACTCATCAATTCTCGATGTGCAGTGTTGATCTATGTCTCCCATAAAAACTTCTCTACCCCTAGCTTTAGTGACACACCATCTCCTCCTGACTTTCCTTCAACTTTTCTGAACATTCCTTCTTGGATTCCCTGGCTGGACTCTTCCTTCATGAATTCCTTCAGTGCTGCTCCCTAGGAGGAGACACATCTCCCTCTCCTCTATAGATTGTCTGATCCTCTTTGGCTACAGTTACTGACAATTCACTGATGGCCCCAAAGCTCTATCTCCAGTCCTTTCTTTTCTTGGGCTGAAGACCTCAAACTCTATCACTGGAGGAGGCATTAAAGTTCCCCCCAACCAAAACACAGGTAAGTACATCCAGACGTCATTTAACAATGGGGACACTACCGGAGAAATGCATCTTTGGGTAATTTTGACACTGTGTGGACATGATAGTGTATTTACACAAACTAAGATGACCATGGTGTCACAGGTAATATGATCTCCTGGGACCTTTGTCATATTTGCAGTCTGTCATTGGTCAAAATATTGTTATGCAGCAGCGTATGACTGCATATCCTTCATTGACCCCAAACCTGTCCAGCTTCCAGACACCCTGACTTAATAAATGATAGTCTCTTACCCAAATGAAAACCATGAGTTTATTCTAGACTTTTTCTCTTTCCATCCTCTGTGTTCAACTGGTCATAAATTTAAAATCTTTGGAATTCATCAGTACCTCCTGCTCATTTATTTCAGGCCTTCGTCTGAACTATGCAACCTCCTCAATACCGGTCTCCTGGTCCTTAATCTCACCCCACTAGAATCTGTCACCACTGTGCCACCAGCATGATTGTCACAAAGACAATCAAGTCAATCTTCCTGTTCAAGTACTTTATTGGCTCTTATCAACTATAAAGTTCAAAATCTTTGTTGTGATGTTAAAGTCTCTTCCTAATCCAGTTCCTGTCACTACCCCACATACATCTCATGCAACAAAACTTCAAAGCAGCTTGCTGCCCCCTGAATGCCACATGCCCTCTGAAACACTGATGATTCTGAACACATTATTCATTTCCTAAATTGCACTGAGAACTCATAAAGTTCTCTCTCTCCAGCTCTCAAGACTCAGCACAGAAGTTCCCTTTCCTGCAATCACTTCCTTGACACCTCATCAGAGTTAGGTGCTCTTATAGCCCCTGGTTATTTGTTGTTGTTGTTTTTGTTGTTGTGTTGTTTTGTTTTGTTTTATTTTTGTTGCTGAGGGAGGAACCAAGGACCTCACATATGCTGGGTAAGCATTCAACACTGAGCTACATTCCCAGCCCCCTGGTTTATATTTCTATTAAGACCTTGGGTTCATCAGATAGTAATTTCACCTTTGTGTGAAAGTCTGCCCTGTTGGACGAGAGCAAGGAATATATCACCGTTGTGTCTCCTGTGCCCAGTGCAGGTTAGAGCAGGTGTGTGCTGGCACATGTGCACACTACATTACACATGCCTGAAGCCATGGCTTTGAGGTGCCACGGGAGGCAGTTAGTCACAACGGACCTGCTCCTTTAGTGTTTCCATACTGAATATTCCCCATCCTAACCCCAGGGTCCTCCTTGATGGTGAAGCTGCCTTGTCCTGCTCTGGCAATCAGTCCCCATGGTGACCTCTGGCCAGAGAAAGTACCTGTGGTAGGGAGCTGGGATGGCCTGAGTGAGGTTCTAGCAGAATATGTCCAGGACTTTCCTGGTAATGTGTCAACACATGGTCCATCCATGCAATCCCTGGACAGGGGTGGGAAGGCCAAGGTTGACTCTGGCAGCTAAAACTCAGGTGGAGAATAACAACACCTCATGCTTCTCAAGCACTCTCAGCTTCAAGAGGTTTCCATGGGTTGTTTCTGAACATAATCCTCACCCTAAATCCAGGTAACAGAATGTTTTATCACAAAGGGTGAGCATGCAACCTGATATTGATCCTGAACACTACAGGATGTCTGTGCCTGGACAGGAGGTCCTGCAGCCCTGGCCTCTCAGAGACTCAGCAAGGAGGAAGGGAAGCATATACACATGCTCACACCACACTCAAAACACATACACACCCACATACTCAGCCTCATTCATGAGCGCCTTTGGTCCCCACAAAGACTCACAAATTCAGTGTTACATCCGGTGACCCTCATTCCGGCACACAAGGCATTGGCTGCTCCCTCATTATTAAATACTCTGAACTGGATAAATCCTGCAGTGAATTCCTCTGAAAATGAGATGCAGAAAACAGCACTCAAGGAGGATGCCAGAAATAGCTTCCTTCAGGCTGCCCAGAGAGAGTGAATGCCAGGCTGAGGCTCAAGAGTGGAGGCCAGCACTACTATGGTCAATGACGGGTGCATCCCAGCCCCAAACTTCACCAACCTTTTCCCAACCCCAGAACTCAAGAACTGGTTCTCAGAGACAGCCCCTATTCTACCAGAAATTGTTTAGAGAAATTCAACAATATTGGGGAATCACAAACAAGGGCTTGTTGCAGCAATTAGTTTTTCTTGCCCACCCCCCTTTCTTTTTTGAGACAGGGTCTCACTAAATTGTCCAGATGGCCTCAGACTTACAATTCTCCTACACACACCAGGATTTTAAATTCTCAAGACCTAAATGTATTTACAACAGCTTTGAATTTTACAGAATAGGCTCAACCTCTACAAAGGTGATGTTACCAAACTTAGATTCACATTAAACAAATATTTATCCCTCACAACAGAAATAAAGCTGTCTCACCATTTTGTCTGTTGTTTGTTGTTTTACACATGAACCTGGCCTGGTGTCAATAAGTTGCTGAGGGGCTGGGGATGTGGCTCAAGCGGTAGCACGCTCGCCTGGCATGCGTGCGGCCCGGGTTCGATCCTCAGCACCACATACCAACAAAGATGTTGTGTACGCCGAGAACCAAATAATAAATATTAAAAATTCTCTCTCTCTCTCTCTCCTCTCTCACTCTCTCTTAAAAAAAATAAGTTGCTGAGGGGTTGATAATGGGGTAGCTAGAAATAGAATCTGGAGCCAACTGGTCATAAATTTAAAATCTTTGGAATTCATCAGTACCTCCTACTCATTTATTTTAGGCCTTCCCAGCCCACATGCTGCCTCTCCTGCCTGTGCACTGTGATCTCAGGTAGGTTACTGAACCTCTCAGTGCTTCAGGTTTCTGGTCAATAAAGTGGGGTTCATAATAGTCCTCAAGGGTAGTTGTGCAAATTAAATGTGACAAGACATGTAACATTTATAGAAGAGAACCAGGCTGTCGTGACAAATAACATCTCCCTGTCATAATTGAATTTATCATCTTTGCTATGAAGAGTTCAAGGAGCATTAAGAACTCACGCTGGCCATAGGGTGAGTAATACGCTGCAGTTTTCTGAGCATCGCCAAAATCGTAGACCACAGGTATCGCAGGACCATTGTCAGTCCAACACTTTCCTATTCCATATTTCACTGGGTATTTCTATAAGGAACAAAAAAAAGTCATTGAATAAGGACAATAGTTTTGGTTTGGGTAGATTACTGTCATTCATAAAGAGGAAGCAATATTTTCTCAGAAGCTGAGATTATTTCAAAACCAGTCAAAATATGAATCTTTCCTTTTTGCTGTATTTCTCCAACAGCCTCAGCCAAGTGGTGCACTTTCTCTCTCTCTTCCTGCCCCAAATATCCTCTCCCCTGGATATTTATCTTCTCTGGCTCAGAATTTCTGAGGATAGTGGGACAGAAGCCATCAGCAAATTAGGATGAGGGGACATGAAAGGGCCATGGCAAGGTGCTTCCTGCCCAACCTCACACACCTGCCTCTCTCTACACCCAGGACAGCCAGTCCCAGCCCGCAGCCCTGTGTACCTGGTAGAGGCCAAACAGATTATCTTCCAGATGCTGGAAGAAGCCAGTTATGGTGCGGTACCTCAGCAGAGAGCTGTTCCGCCAATTCTGCATGGGGCTCTTGTTGGGCACATGCCAGATGCCCAGGTCCGCAGCCTGGATGTCGTAGTAGCCAGGGTTCTGGAAAAGCAACCAACACTGAGACTGACCAGCCCAGG